AAAGGAATCTCACTGGACACACCCCCTTAGAACATAAAACCAAGCGGTCTAAACCAAGAAGACTAGAAAAAGAAGGCTATGCAGTAGTAGAATTAGTCTTTGCAGCCGACATATTTCCTTTTTAACCTTTTTTAAATCTTCTTAGTATCCTTTATTAATACTATAAGAATAAAATATCCGGTATAGAATCAAATATCCGGTATATGATTTGTTTTATAAATGTACATAAAGTAATAGATGTCGCTAAGGCTCATAGATTTCTAGGGAAATAGAAACATTGTTCAGTATTTGCAACAAGTCTATACAGGCTGGTTGAAATATAATGTATCTATAGGTTTAATTCATGTAGAGACAGCCATGTAGAGTTTTACAAACACAATGTTTTCCATGTTTATTTGTTTGTTTTGCCTATGTTTTCTTTATGCCTTGAAACAAACTCATTAAGAGTCGAAAGCGCTCGGGTAAGTTAGTTACTAGTTTTGTACTGTTCGTATTCAGTTTATTGCATCTATCTCAATCAATCCGTGACAGACATTATGCCTTGCTGGATCCAGTGGGCTTGAAAGGGCGGTTATTCGCCATATAATTTGTATTATATATATATATATATATATATATATATATATATATATATATATATATATATATATATATATATATATATATATATATATATATATATATAAGCAGCAGAGAGAGTGAACCCTACAACAATATATTTGCGACAAAATCGATTAAAGCCTCAGAATGCCAATGGAGCCTTCCTACGAAATCTCATATTTTAACCAAAAAAAAATTAAAGGTCCCATCTTAGCGATTTTGTCGTGAATACATTGTCATAACCACACTCAAATTGCTGCCATCTACGTCTACAAATTTTTGCGACAGAATCGATTAAAGCCTCAGAATGCCAATGGAGCCTTCCTACGAAATCTCATATTTCAACCAAAAAAAAAATAAAGACCCCATCTTAGCGATTTTGTCGCAAATACATTGTCATAACCACACTCAAATTGCTGCCATCTACGGTCGCAAATATGTTGTCATTTCACCCTCTCTGCTGCTGATTAATACAAATTATTTAACCGATATTTGTTAGCTTTTCACAAACAGACTAATCGATAATACTTCACCACGTAGATCAATTAAATTATTTGACTGATCGGTGAGTGTAAAATTAATTCTAGTTAGTGAATCATTTTGACATTGCATATAGACTGGATTAGTCGGATTCTCAACAATTAAAAATCCGGGGGGTGCTGTTGGTGAAAATGAATAAAGAATGTAACCTTGTCGGGCTTGATTTGATTGTTCCATATTAATTTGATAACTTCCTTCGATTACATCACACGTTAAATTAAGTGCGATCACCGATGAAATATTCACATTGTTCGGTGCGATATGTCTACCGTCGCCGTCGGGAGAATTATTTATGATACTACGATTAAAAACGCTAGCGTTTTTTCATCTATTGCAAAATTAGACATTGTAAATAATAATAATAATGTCGCAAGAGATTCAACTACTTCAGCGGATAGCAGAAAATACCACTCCGCGGAAAACAAGCATGATATCAATATCGTCAACAAACCCTAAATTCAGTGTGAATTTTCCCTCGCCTGTTTCAGTAAAGGAAATCGCGTTGGCAAAATACGAGTGTATCATAGTTGGCCTAATATCAGATCGGTTCCATTTGGCGGTTCAGAGACCTAATAATAATTCTCTGGTGTTTTGCATATAGGAATAAAAAAGATGACACTCCAGATTGGAACGTTGTTTCAATACCAACTGGGTCCTATCAAATTGAGCAAATTAATAATGAATTACAACGTAGAATAAAATCCATTACTAAAAAAGAATCAAAAATTGCGATAACAGTTCATGAACCAACACTATCATCTACAATTGAAATAGGCTCTCCTGGGTATGTTGTAGATATTTATAACAGTTCAATAAGAACAGTATTAGGATGGCCCGAAGATCCACCTAGAAGTGCTGGTAATTCCACGCCCGAGCCTGTAAAATCTGATTACGTCACTGATGAAATAGGACCTGAAAATCCATCAAAAGGATATAAAAAATTCGAGGATATAAACTTCACAAAAAGATATCGACGTAAGAATCAATATGGTGAAGATGTGTGGAGAATTCCATTTTTTAATGATTATATCCCACAGGAAGGTGAAATTCTGGAAAATACATGAACAAGTCCAACATTTGTAGATATTAAAGATCACATCCTTGATAGAATGAATAATGATTTTTTGTCGTTATTACCCTCGTTAAGATCTGGCTTTCTTACACAAGCTGAGTTTACTAGTGTAGTCGCCGCGGGTAATAAAATCATCGATGACATGGAAATATTTAATTCGAGGATTACTAATCTCTTCACTGATGAAAATAGCCCGATTTCAAAAACTAGCTCAGCTCAAGATTATAAAAAAATATAAATGAAAATCCAAATTATAAATTACCAGGATATAACTTGCCCTAGTTAAAGAAAAAACTCAGAACTGCCATCGACGAAGGATTTAATAAAATCTATCAATCATGGAAAGATAGCCAGCCGAAGCCTATTATCCTCACTTATAATAATTCTCCCGACGGCGACGGTAGACATATCGCACCGAACAATGTGGATATTTCATCGGTGATCGCACTTAATTTAACGTGTGATGTAATCGAAGGAAGTTATCAAATTAATATGGAACAATCAAATCAAGCCCGACAAGGTTACATTCTTTATTCATTTTCACCAACAGCACCCCCCGGATTTTTAATTGTTGAGAATCCGACTAATCCAGTCTATATGCAATGTCAAAATGATTCACTAACTAGAATTAATTTTACACTCACCGATCAGTCAAATAATTTAATTGATCTACGTGGTGAAGTATTATCGATTAGTCTGTTTGTGAAAAGCTAACAAATACAAATTATTTGTATTAATCAGCAGCAGAGAGGGTGAAATGACAACATATTTGCGACCGTAGATGGCAGCAATTTGAGTGTGGTTATGACAATGTATTTGCGACAAAATCGCTAAGGCTCCATTTGTAAAATGGGGTCTTTATTTTTTTTTTGGTTGAAATATGAGATTTCGTAGGAAGGTTCCATTTGGCATTCTGAGGCTTTAATCGATTCTGTCGCAAAAATTTGTAGACGTAGATGGCAGCAATTTGAGTGTGGTTATGACAATGTATTCACGACAAAATCGACTGCTGGCAGCTCCATTTGTAAAATGGGACCTTTAATTTTTTTTTGGTTAAATATGAGATTTCGTAGGAAGGCTCCATTGGCATTCTGAGGCTTTAATCGATTTTGTCGCAAATATATTTTTGTAGGGTTCACCCTCTCTGCTGCTTTTTCTGTGTTTTAAATTTAATTTTGTTAATAAAATTTGTAATAAATATATGATGATACAATATTTGACATGCCATTTACTCAGACATATGTTAATAGATGTTTAGTTTTGTAGAAATTTTTGTTTATAAAAATCTGAATTATTAAAAATGTATGTCATATTCATTTAAGTCAGATTCACTACGAAATATGTAATATTTCTAAGGATGTTCCACTATGTTGTAAATTAACTAAATTGAAAATAAAATTAATGGTTTATTTTGGGGGGTATGGTAGGCAAAACATGTATCGAGACAAATTCTGTCAAGGCTTTGTTTAATGAGATTTGCTATTGCTCGGGTCTTCACAAGACTGGTTGCATAAAGCAACTCGATATATGGCGTGTATTGCATATTCGTATGCACAAAAACTGCATTTTCATACACGAAGACAAAAAATACAGCCACTGTACCATTTGTGGTTCTATCTGTATAAATGGTTCGAAAACAAACAAACGATACGAAATAACAGTGACGAATACTTATGGAAGATTTGCAGATTTTAAAAATTTCACTCTAAGATTCACCCAATTGAATCATGATATACATCAAGTCAATCCGAAACTATGCAGTAATAGGAGTTATTATTAATTATCATAACACCATATAACGATACTAATTGCCTTTCTGATTTGCTTACAAGGTACATTCATCTTTTAAGGTACAACTAGCTACTTCGATAAATTTGTCTTTCTAAACATGCTTAATTTTAAGATTCTTCTCAGTAAAATTTGTGGAGTGTGGAGTTACTTACCTATAGTAAATTAGTAAATTATATTTTAAAGGCATAAACCCTACTCCCCACTCCAATGATTCCATCACCACAACAGAGGGAAAAAAAAGCACTCACAAGAAACACGATTACTATTTTTTGTGCTTTACTTGGGCTTAAATTAAATATGCAATCTTAGTTTGCGAGGATGCGAGAATATATACAAAATATCCTAAAATATTAAAATATTTTGTCTTATCGAAAAAGTTGATACATGTTACTTCCAAAGTAGGCATCTTGAGAAACAAATACCCATTACGTTTGGCCTCCCAGTTTTGTTAGTACACAAGTACGCGATAAAATCCCATTATTTCATGCCCTGTACAGGTATATCTTAGAGAACTAGAATGTTTTTATGGAATACAGATGCCCGACCACGATACTTGGAACTGAGCTAAAAGAAACCTACAAGATCTTAAGTACTTACGAACAGACGTACAAGGAAAACATTGATTTCACTTGCCCCACCACTCTCGCATTGGCAAGATACAGTAAAACTGTCTACATGTATTCATCTAAATCGCATATCATTTTATAACATTTTCTTTTTTAAAAAAACTAGGAACATATTGCAAAGAAAAATGACGATTTAAACTTTATAGTATTTTTATTCTTGTTGGTTGCATTTTTCGTTTTGTTTGGTTTTATGGTGAGGGGGTACATGCATTGCTCATCGTCCTCGGCCATTCAAAGATTCCTCTTAAGAAATGAGACTCCACCAAACAACAAAAAGTGTTCGTGAAACATGGATCCCTAATTCTACTGCCTAAAAGAAAAAGTCTGACTAAAGCATGACGGCTGGAAAGGCAAATGAACAAATTGTACGGGACTGCTCCTGTGGCCTAGTGGTCAGACCGTCTGACTTGGATACGGGAGGTCGTGGGTTCTATCCCCAGCCGAGTCATACCAAAGGCTCATAAAAATGGTAATAAGAGCTGCTTCGCTTGGCGCTCAACATTAAGAGGTTAGTGTTAGGACTGGTCGGCGTACATCGTGCTACAAGTCTGCGGCATGATGCCCCATTGCTAGATATCACTATAAACTGCCACGCTTCAGACATAGTAGCGATATGACTGAAAAATTGTTAAAGCTACGTTAAAAATCTAAATCACACACACACACACACACACACACACACACACACACACACACACTGTACGGAACATTGTGTTCTAAAACAATTTTTCTGTGGCATATATAGTTACAAATGGAACAGTTATGCAAAAGCTCAACCTGAAATTAGCTGCCATCCACGTAAATTGCGCCTTATATGGGCTGATTAGCTGGTTGATTGATCTTGTTAATTAACTGACACAGTGACTGACAAGTGTAGCTAGACACCCATTTGACCAAATATCAACGTTCGAATTTAGTTAGCCTAAAACACTATAGGAACAAACCAGTTGTTAACACCTTGTCTAATATCGACAGATTATCAAACTCGTAACAAGCCAAGTTTGTGTGAAAGATATTATAATATACTCACTGTAGCCCGAATAGGCAGTTGACAAACTTAACCTAAAAGCAGCTTACGATGTGTTAGTACTCAATGCCTCCAATAAAAGCAACTGCAATCATTTATACACAGTAATAAAGACACAAAGAAGAGAAACATGCTACTGAATCATTTACACACTTTATGTAAACAAGCAATAAAGAATGTTCTTTAATGATGATAATAGGGTTAATAGTCAATCTTGCAGTGACTCAAATGGATTGGAAATAAATTTTCTACTGAATATGTCTTCTGTAAACTCTAAAAAAATAAAATAATACCATAAACGGCACATGATATACCTACCCAATGTTTAATAGTCCTTTATGCAAATAAATGAAATTTGAGAACAGATACCAGTTTTTTTTGGGGGGGGGTAGCTATTTGAGCTTGAACTTTGAACTTCTGACCCAAAAATCAAAGTTTCTTCCTTATCTCAATAGTTTGGTTGGAGTCTCTAATAAAAAAAAAAAAAAATGTTATTGTAAGGAAGCCTTTTTTCTTCTAAATGTGACCTTGACCATTGACCTTTTGCCGCCAAATCCACAGGCTTCATTCATTTATGCATTTGCTAAGCTCATTTACTCAATGGGATAAACTGGTACAATGTCCCTTTAAAGGTACTATACTGCATTTTCATATCAAAAAATGAGTAAATGGGGAGATAACAAGCCTAACAACAAAAAGTTGTTAACACCTTTTTTGACACTGATGGGATTAAGCTTGCGACAATTAAAGTTTATATGAAACTCATCAAATTTACCTTTCACAAGCCAATGAGTGGTTTACAAACTTGACTTAAATACCCTACACACAATATGTTAGTCACCAATGACACACAATAAAAGCAAATGCAATGTGACTATATTGTAATAAAGACAATGACATCAAATAGACTTATCAAGTCCTCATTGTGATTCTTGTAAAACAATCAATTCAAATGTTTTTAGGATGATAATAGAGTATAGTACAAGCAACAATGAACTGAGTGGACTGGAAAGGGACTTTTCACAAGTCTGCTGTAAACTATTTAAAAAAAACAAAAACTTTATTGTAAAACCATTAAATATTTTTTTGAAGAAGTTTTCTGTAAACTGGAAGGATGACCTTGCATAACACAAAACAGTACAAGTCAATAAATCATTTTTTAAAAAATGTTTCTATACATTTTTTTCATATTTAATTTACATCATTGGTCATTCACTTCAAACACTTACAGTGAATAACTCAAATTAACTTTAAAATTGTGTATCATATTCAGCATGAATACCATGTTCTGAATATCATTTATTCTTTTGTTAAACTTTTAAATAAGACTACCAGTCAGGATGGAAAAAGTGGTTCCAGTAATAATGCAATCTCATTTTACACACAGTAAATTGGATAAAAGCCAGTATGGTTATATGGGAGTGGTCTTCAAGAAATTGCAGCTTTTGATGGTTATTTCAAATACAACTTGATATTTGTTTCTTATCCATTCACAATAGAAACCTGAACTTGGTTTCTGCTCAAATGAAAGTACATACAATACCCATCACTGTTTAGAAAATAATAGCAAATCAGGTATTTTATAAATCCATCAAATTTGTACAGGCTGAAGCTCACGCATACCTCATATCCAAACAGAAATGTATTTTGGTGAGGACATTTGTTCAGTAGAATTACCTAAATTTTATTATTAATGATTTCAAAATGTCTTACATACTTTCACTGACTTTATCATTCCACAGTGCTATTGTTGCTACTACTGTATTAAAATTACATTAGCAAAATCTTATGCGAAGTCACAATTATATCATTTTACCTACCATCTCTCATGGTTCATAATGCTACAATATATTGAGGTTTATTGTAGTGTCATATTTTCTCAAAGTTACTTGTTTAGTCCCAGAATTATAAAGTATTCTCTTAAATTCAGAAATATGATAATATAGGCCCTTGGAACTTTAGTCTGCAATATAATATAGCCCATGATCATAACCTTTCCAAATACAAAATCAAGACAAAGCATACTGTACTATTATTTTTTTTAATAATTTCATAAATTTTATCAAATATCAATCAAATATGGTTTTTCTAGAACCAACATTCACCAAATCTGTGAGGATTTGGAGAGACACTGAAGCAAATTCCAAGGGGTCAAAGATTTTAACATACCTGCAATATAGTTTTACTAGTGAAAGCAATAATCTGTTATATTGGCCTCTCTTCATCCTTTTCCAAGGTGACAAACATTCCTGATCAGCCCATTAAAAATGGATGATATACAAGCATCCTTCAAGAAAGATAACTTTGAAACTTTCTTGAGTAATTACCATTACTGTGAATCCTTGAGCATAATATGTCATTTTTTTTAGCAACAGAGCAATTACCTGATATCTTAGATTGAGTGACCCCCAAGTGGCCCAGTGGTCTAAAGCGCTCACCGTTCCGGACCACTGCTGTCTAAACTCTTTGTGTGGGTTCGAGTCTCAGGTGCAGCTAACAGCTTGCCAGTAGCTTTTTGTGGGTCAGTGGTTTGTCCTGTGGTTTTCCAGGGTCCTTCCTCCACTAGTTATACTGGCTACCATGTATAGCCTATTTTTTGCTTAAAAATTTCATTAAACCCTACAACTACAACATACCTGATGTCTGACAGGTACATACATGAAACTACACAGATTCAGAACTATGTTTGGATGGATATCTAAATGTGGTTACAAACTTGTTAGTGTGGAACATATATCCCTTTTGTATCCAATGTTATTTTAATCATTAAGTGAATAAGCTGTATTTGGGCAAAACAACATATTTTATTTCTTTACTTTAAAATTTTCTACTGTGCAACTGACAAGCCTAAAAGGATTGTGTATTTTCAACCAATACACACATACAGTATGAAGTGTCCTGGAAAAAGGATATGCATAACCACACATTATGCTATCAATACAAAATTAAATCGGTTCTTGAAATATGGATATGGCCACAATCATACACTTCATCCAACAATGCTGTGCACACAATTGTACATAAAATAAAACATTAAATCAGAACATGAGTACAGGAATGCCCTATCTATCTCAACATGTAAAATGCATACTGCATAATAATCCAGCATCCAGGTCCAAATATTTGTACTTTAATTCTGTACATTATTCTTCTTCTTCTTAGAATGGTACATGTCACAATTCCTTTATCAACAAATAAGCAGCTCATATTAGCAATACGAAGATTTCAAAATACAGTGGAATAAACTTAGACTGCTAACCAATGGTAGGTCTTACAGCAATATGATAAAACTGTAAAAGTTTGTACAGCAACAATACAAATAAATACAAGCTTTTATGGCAAAAAGACAAATCAGTACAAGTGTTACAGCAATAAGACAAATCAGTACATGTTTTATAGCAATAAGATAAATAAGTACAAGTCTTAGAGCAATATAGTAAATCAGCTACCAAAACTGTTTGTTGGGATAAAGTACAAGTTTGGTGTCTGATATTGCTGGAATTGTTAAATACAGATGCACAAGTATGCAGCTAGAAAGCAAAAATCTTTGTGACTGTTTCTTACAAATTTGGATGTTTTGGGAAGCAGATTATATATATTAAAGAACTATACCAATGTGTCCCTTTCTGTTTTAGTTCTAAAAGAAAAATTTTAAGATATTTTTAAGGAGAAATTTATTAACAGCATCTATCCATTCAACACAACTTACATCTTTATTCATATTTATCATGCTAATCATCTCACAAATATAGTTTTGCCTTGAAATAAATAACATCATTTCTAAGATGGCTGTGGAAGGGTCAAATCTAAAATAACCTGCAAGAAACCAAACATAACATATTGCCAAATATATACTTTTTGTTAGGTACTTTAAGTAATTCCCTGTAATTCAGGTTTGTGACGATTACTATGGCTGGGGTGGGGTGCTCCCATTGTTTTACCAAAACTATTATAGAAGTTCCACCAAGGCTCTATTTTGTTGGAAGTTAAATTTAGTGAAAGACAGAAGTGAAACTCCAAGCCCCCAGTTGGCAATGCCAACAGTTAGATGATTAAATAAATAAAAAGGTTGAAATTCAGTGAATGACAATTTATTAACAATTCAATAAACAAACAGCTCAAATTTCCAATTATGCTCCTTCCACTTGACCCTTTAATAAGCCTGCTGCATCACTTGATTAGCAGTGTGAGATTGATCTCCATCTGTCCTTGTATTTCTACTTGTATCCTTTCTCTCCTATTTCTACCAATTCTTACTCCCCCTCCTCCTTATCTTATCTCCATATTCCCCATCCTCCTCCTTAACTTTCTCTAGACTTCTCCTCCCAACTTTAGTCTCTAGACTCTTTCTCCTGCGCTTTCTCTCTCATGACTACCCTTCTGTTGACTTTGAATGTCTTGACTAGTCTCAATTCTGTCTC